AGATGGGCCTGGCCAAAGTGCCTAATGCTTAACTATAAGCATTGGTCATAGACAAATGCTGTCATGATCCAAAAAGTAATAAGGAGATTCTAATCCTTCTAGGGTTAGGAAAGATTAATCTGACCTGAGTTCTGTAATCTCAGTCTGTGGTAAAATGTTCCCAGGAGAGCTGGCCTAAAAGCCTCAGTGTATCTTTTACTGTGTCCATACAAAAATAATTAGTATTAAGATGTTGATAGAGTTATTGGACTGAGGAAAGAAGAAAAACACCTTAAGAGGTATTTTGCCCTTGGGCAGTCAGGAAGGTCTTTGGAATATCCCTATGTGATGTTTAGTCCTTGAGCCTAGCAGTCAGGAAGGACTTTCTATTGTTGATTTGGCTACCTTATTGGGTGAGGTGTCAGCCCAGAGTGTTGAATTGGAGAGCTGGAGAGAGTTGGAGAGATGAGAGAGAGCAGGGCAGCAAGATGATGTGTGGAGAGACTAGCAAGGGGGACAGAGAGAGAAGAATGTAGAAGAAGAATACAGGAGTAAGCACGTGGAGAAAGAAAGCCCAGGCTGCAAGATGGAGTGGAGAGATGAGTGGGAAAGACAGGAGGAGATGGGAATGAGGGGTTTGAACTAGAATGGGAGGCTCAGAGAGGCTGGGGCAGGCATATGGGAAAAATTAAATAAACGACAACTGATCAATCTTCGAGTGGTCCTCCTGTGCCCCCCACCCCAGAACAAAATGCGGGTGGTGAGGGAGAGAGCCATTGGGTCTCTCCCTGGCCACCCCTTGAGGTTATACAGTTGACTCTTCCTTTTTTTTCTAGTTTAAGATCTTCCTGTGACTTTATCAGTGATTTTCAAAGAAATCCTGGTTATCTTAAAAATTTTATTATAAATTTCTATAATTTTAAAAGTTTTCTTTTTTTAAGTGGCATCAGCTACAACTACATGGTGAACAGGAAAGATAAAAGCACCGCCTCACAACTGTCTTTTGGTATTAGATGTATAGCTGCCTCATTGATTTTTTTCCTTCTTACAGATGGACAGAGAAGGTTATCTAGTTCCCCTGACTATCCAAGACAGTGGGAAAGAGAATCATTAAGACATTACAATGCTGTTTAGCAGTAAATTCTAGTCCTTAGTATAGGTTGATCTATCTTTCAAATGCTACAATTTCAGAGGCAATACAAAAGAAAAAACTACAAGTGGGTGAACCAGGTTTGAGTCCCAGAACCCCAGTTGGTTTGGTCCAACCCAAGCTTGGTTCCCTGAGCACTGCTAGGAATGATCCCTGAGTGCAGAACCAGAAAAAGCCCTGAGCACAGCCAGTTGTGGCTTCCAAACAAAAATAACAAAACAACAACAAAAGCAAAAAGTAAACTACAATGAATGGATAAGTCAAACGCTTCACTGTTAATATTCCCACCACTGTGATCTGGGGGAAGTAACAGTTATGGGAGTAATACAGCAAGATGGGATGAATGTAACAATGGCAATTTTGGGTCAATGTTTATCTTAAAATTACATTATGAATTTTTATAAATGAACGAACTTTGGCTAAGTCGCATATATGGTTTCTTATAATAAGAAGAAAGAGTCCTGCTAACCGTACCATAATATATTATCCTGTTTTAATATTCTTTAGGGCTGGAGCAATAGCACAGCAGGTAGGACGTTTGCCTTCTACTCAGCTGACCCGACCATGCCGCATTCGATTCCTCCATCCCTCTAGGAAAGCCCAGCAAGCTACCGAGAGTATCTCACCCACAGGGCAAAGCCTGGCAAGCTCCCCGTGACATATTTGATATGCCAAACACAGTAACAATTGTCACAGTGGAGACGTTACTGGGCCCGCTCGAGCAAATCAATGAACAACGGGAGGACAGTGACAGTGACAATATTCTTTTAATACCTAAAATGAGAATCAAGGTAGAAGTTAAAAAAATCTAAATAACAATCAAATCAATTTTATGGACATAGCCATAGTCCAGTCCCCGGACCCAGGGACAGAGTTTCTCTGCTTGCTCCTACCAACCACAGGTGACAAATCAAATCAATTTTATGGACATAGCCATAGTCCAGTCCCCGGACCCAGGGACAGAGTTTCTCTGCTTGCTCCTACCAACCACAGGTGACAAAGGGATTCTACTCAGGAGCCCCACCCTACCCTGCCCTGTCTGCTTCCATCAACCACCCAGGGATCAGATTGCGCACAGAAGACCCACCCTACCCAGATAAATACCCCACTGGCAGACTTCCACTATCGACACTACCTCCACTACCCAGCCGTTGCCACACTCAAGGACGCTTTCTGGACCCGCGCGACCGCGACACATCATAAGACACTAAATACCCATCTTCCAGAATTGTTGTACCATACTTGATAGGGTTCAAAAATGGTAACACCTACAAGGTGATTAGAGGTCGCCCCAAAAGCCTCTATCCCTCTCGGAAAGACTGGCAAGCTACTGAGAGTATTCCGCCCGCACGGAAGAGCCTGGCAAGCTATCCGTTGTGTATTCGATACGCCAAAACCTGTAACTACAACTGGTCTCATTCACCTGACCCTGAAGGCTTCACTGACATGGCAGCACTGAGAAGGATGAGAAAGGAGAGGCCGACAAAATCTCAAGGCCGAACTAGGCTGCCACAACGACTCATGAGCGATCGGTTTGAGACTCTTCATGTTCCCAGAACGAACAGATGCCATTGGGCTACACTAACACGCGGCAGGGACAAATGGAGACGTTACTGGTGCCCGCTCGAGCAATTCAACGACTAACAGGAAGTTAAGTGATTTAAGTGACTAAGCCATAGTTAGAGATAGTAAACATTACTGCGAAAATGATAAACTGGAACTTAAGAAAAATTCTTTGAACTCCTGAAGGTGGATGCCAACTCAGAGTTGGAGAAATAGCTTGGATCTGTGCATTTCCAAATCTAGACTTCTATCTGTAGCGGAATAACTTGGTCAACTTTCCAAATAGATTTGTTATGCTCCATCTCCAACAGATTAAGATTTTTTTTAAGTGTGAACCAAAGGGCTATATTTTAAAAGGCACTTCTTTTGAAAATTAAGTACAACAGTGTTTGCAAGATACTGCTGTGGACTTCAAAAATTTCTTGCCATTTTATTAAAAAAGTGAAGATGCTAATCCAAAGAGAATTATAAGTAAAAGTGAAATTCTGATAATCAATTATGAACAATTATAATCAGGAAGAAGCAGAGTCTACATTTCTAGTATGATGATGAGTCTATAGCAAGCTAATATTTAAAGTGGAATAAATTTGGCCAGAGAGCAAATAAAAATATATATCACAAAACACAAAGCTAAATTTTATGATTAACTGTAGCACTGTAGCACAGTCTTTCCATTGTTCATTGATATGCTCTAGTGGGCCCAGTAACATCTCCATTGTGAGACTTGTTACTGTGTTTGGCATATCCAATACATCACAGGTAGCTTGTGAGGCTTTGCCATGCGGACGAGATTCTCTTGGTAGCTTGCCAGGCTCTCCAAGAGGGGCAGAGGAATTGAACACGAGTCGGCCTGGTCAGTTGCATACAATTTAAATGTCCTACCTGCTGTGCTATCGCTCCCCAGCCCTAAGATTAACTGTTATTTATATTTTATTCTAAGGAAGTTTATTTCTCTGTAAGACAAGAAAAAACTGAGTTTGATGCAATTGTTGCTATGTCTTACATATACTCAACAAATATCAATTTTAATCTCCAGTATTACAAAAGAAAAATACTTGCAAACAATTATGGATGATACACTTGAAAGTAGAATATAAAGTGTTCATTCAGTGAAAAACAATTTTTAGGAAAAAACTATGTACATAGATAGTATCTTAATATTCATGTTAATTTATGTGGGCAAGCATATTTTATGATGTTTCTTAATCTTTATCATATTCACAGTTTTTATGAGGTCAAGTAGTTTAGTATAAAGTTAAATACTAATATGCCTTTCAAGCTCTATTATTCAAAAGATATAGATGATTGCTCTACTTTGTAGGTTTTCTATGGAGTCTTTCCTTAATGAGAAGTTAATTAGAATCTATTCTCCATATGATGTAATAGTCACACATGTACAAATTGAAAGTCAATTTGTTATCAAGATGTTCACATACTGAAGCCATAGAAATAAAGTATAGTGATAATGTTATTCTTTTCTATTTTTGACAAGAGGGAAATGATTCTTTTTCCTGCCTAAGCAAATAACATTATTGAGGTTAAAATTTCACCTTCATTAAACTCTTTAATAGTTTCAATATGTGCTTTAAGTTCACATTTTATGTTTTGAAACTTGACTCAAATTATTATCAATAGTTTATGTTTACAATTACATTTTAAGGGGATATCCTTAAATTTTAAGATAACTAAAGAACTTATAGAATGAATATTACTTTAGAATTCACCAATGTTCTTATCAGATAAAAACTTTATATTCACAAATATATACACACATAGAAACAAACATACACACTCCTATTAATGTTCATAATATTAAATTTTATGAATAATGAAAATTAAGAATAGAATTTTCAGAGTATTGGAATTTTTTTAAAGGTGCCATGCAGATTTTGTTTTTGGAAGTTTAAAATATTTTCACCACATCTATCTCATTCCATAAAAAAAGTACTCTGATGACCATTATTTCTTGCTTTGTGTGTATGCTACTAAATAATAGGTGAGATAAAAATAAATACATAAAATGACTACAAGAGAAATAAGTGCACAATAAAATAAGCTATCGAGTCAATATCTGGGCCACAAGCATGCATGACATTCGAAGAAATTTGCATGAAAGATTGTGCACATGAACATGAGAACTTAGTTAGGGATGAAACCCTGGAGCATATTCTCACAACAGAATGAATCCATTAGTCTAGATAAGTATTTGCAGACCTTACTCATTTCCAAATACTTTACTAATGCCGGAAACAAGACAATCCCTTGCCTGTAACAGAACAAACCACCCTAAAACATCTGGCATACTTACACACTTTTCGCTGTCAAATACATAGCACAAATGTTTATTTGACTCAGAATCTTTGCATATGAAAGTGAATATCCTCTTGTCAGTTTTATCATCTGCACAAAAAGATATTCTATGAAGCTGGCAATTGTGTTGGACTTCCTGTGAACACAGATACAAATAAGCAATTTGTGATATCTTTTATGATTTTCTAAAATAACAGTCAGTTTTAATACACACAATGTATGGCTGTAAAAATAAAATATTACTTGTCAAATTTTCGAGATTTGATTACATACTACACCCTAATGTTAAACATATACGTAATGGAGATAAACCTCCTGACTCAGGATTAACCAAAGAGTAATTTCAATAATATTAAGAAAAACGCAAGAAACTGATGGGCTTTCTCAGGTATAAGAAATATTACGAGAACACTGTTTTCAATCCTGAAATTTTGATTAGGAAATCATTAAATCCCAGAGAGGTTAATATGCTTCTCAAAGGTTATAAAATTAGCAGAATATTTAAAATCATAACAATTTTATATTATCTAATTATGCAATAAACACTACAGTTTAATACATAATTTCACCTCCACGTATTTCATTGAGATACCATTAGCCTTAATGTTCTTGTTAAACTGCACAGTATATATGTTAATGTTAAATCATAAGTACATCCTTCCAACTTCTACTGTGTTTTTCACTAAAGTAGCAAATGAACAAGATCTATAATGCAACTTCTAAATGACTCAATGAAACCTGTTAATCAGTAAAAAAAATTAAATACTACAACCAGACATATCATCTTTATCTAGCCATCTGCACCTTTTATATGAACAATCACTTGCCACTGTATACTTTCAAATCAGTGTCAGCAAGTTAAGACTGATTCACATTCGTACTCATCAGAATTGAAATAAATGTGAACAGCATTTGTATAAGGTACTGTATTCTTTCTTTGTATACACAAAATAGTAAACCAGGACTTCAGTAAACCTGAAAACTGAAGTGGGGGATTAAAATGAGGAAGTTTATAAAAATGAGAAAGTAAAAATATGATACTATTTTGTCATTTCAAGATAGTTTGAGTCATCCAATTCAACATCAAAGAGGTGCAAGGCTGGAATAAAGGAAGTACAGGACGAAGACTCATGCATTACATGTAGCCTACCCTGATTCTATCCATGGCACTGCACTATGATTCCCAAAAAAACCACTAGGAATGATCACTGAGCACAGAACCACGAGTAAACCCTGAGCACTGACACACCTGGCCTATACGTCAAAGTAAAAGAAAGAAATATAAAGTGCAAGGCAGGGGATACAGTACAGTGCACGCTTTTCAAGTACGTGTACTTGAATTCAATTTCAGCATCATAAATACAACAAGGAGGAGATGTTAAATTCTTAGGTTTTTGAGGAGTTATCTTCCCATCCTTTTGGTTACACTACAAACCAAATTTTGTAGTACACTGTCCACTGTACTACAATAAAAATGACCATATTTGTCTGAGACTATCCCTTTCCTATACTTTGACCAATTTATCACTGCTATACTATTACAGAGAAAGATTTATTTTTTCCAATTGCAGGAATCATTATAGGGAACATGAAAATGGGCGATTTATATATCTGGGCTTGAAGCCTACACAGTCCCTCAATGGTGAACCAACAATATGATAACAGATGAACATTGATTAGAAGAGTTGGGAATCGTTCCAGTTCTTTTTTCTTTTATTTGGGAGGGTGGAAAGGGAGAGGCACATCAGTTATGCTCAGGAATTACTCCTGGCTTTGCAATTAGGGAACGGTCCTGATAGGATTGATCCACCAATCCCACAGGGATTGTATGGTATGCAGGGGATCGAAATGGGGTTGGTGTGCATAGCAAGCACTCTACCAACTCTACCATTGCTCTGGCTCTTTAGTTCTAATTTAAAGTGACAAAGATAACTCTGGAAAGGTAAGACTAAGGAGCTGAGACATAATTGTTAAATTTTTATCAGTTATGTTATTGCAATGGATTAAAAACAAAGGCTTCGCTAATCACACTGAATTGAACCCCATACTTCTGACTTTCTTGAAAATAGGATTTTTGACTTGAGGAGGAATGCAGATTCGACAGTCAACATTTATGTAATAGAATTTATAAATAACAGATTGACAGGGATTTTATTAAGAGACACAATGGGACTCTAGAATCACCAACTAGTAACAGCACTCCATTTACATTGGCATGACACACATACACACACACAAACACACAAACACAGCAGCAGCAGCATTACCTTGACATGCATTCTGCCCTAAAGTTATGCTGCTATCAAAATATTAGTTCTTAACACTAAAAACATTCTCTCTGTATAAATTAATCATGTAGTTTATATAAATATGGTAACAGTTTTATAAATATCTTCTAATATAGATTCTTAAGTTTTATATCAATACATTAAAATACAAAAAGTGTACTAGGTATCCATTAATAGAAATTTTACTACAATCTGTAGGTTATGCTATTGGTGAAAACTTATAGCCTTGGATATATTAATAATGGGTAGGCTCAAATAAAAGATATAGATAGTGGTACAGACTCTGGAGAACTAGGTTATGATGAAAGTAGAGTTAACTTTGTTTATCAAAACCATTAAAATTAACACCATGCAACCATTTTACCTAATAAAAATAATTTTAAAAAGTGAAACAGTGGAAGTATATGTAGATGATATAAAAGGCATATGACAGCCCTTGGCATTTGAAGATAGTATGGTTTAAAAAATTATCAACATTCACCTAGAAGTGGAATTAATAATCAATTATACATATACACTTCAAAAGTGTTACAGATCTATATAGTTAAGAAGAATTTTCTTTAGTTTAGAAGAAATTTTAAACACAAAGATGGCCTACAAATTACCTCTCTAATTGAATATATTCCATTATGTATCAATTTCATTTTTAAAAGGAAATTCAGGGCAAGGATTATCTATCTTATACTGCTTATAAGATTGAACTTTTGGCTGCACTGTCACTCTGTAACTTCATGCTTCCTTAACTATTGTTCTTTTATAACTACTATTTGTGTAATTATTTTCTTTTTTTCTTTTTTTTTAATTGCTTTTGGGGTCACATCCGGCAATGCACAGGGGTTACTCCTGGCTCTGCACTCAGGAATTACTCTTGGCAGTGCTCGGGGGACCATATGGGATGCTGGGAATAGAACCCAGGCAGGCCCTGTGCAAAGCAAACACCCTACCCGCTGTGCTATTGTCCCAGCCCCTTGTGTAATTATTTTCATCCAACACACCTGTTTAGCAGAAAATGCCTCACTTTAAACTGTGTTTCTTGCAGGCAAACTACATACACATACACATACATATATATGTATATACACACATACATTTTTAGCCACCTCAGCAGTAGTTATTTAAAGACAATCATAATTAAGTAAAGTCTACATTTACTATTTGCTATATCATAGTGAATGCAAGTAATAGAAGTATCAAATAGTTTTAGAAGATCCTAAATCCATGGCTTGAGTGTTTCAAAGGAATGCTATTGCTCTTCAATTTGTTTTTGAACAGCAACTGTGGATATATCCATACCTAGTCCAGTTGTTCAGAAAATATTAAAAATGCAAATTTTCCATGAAAATTCTAGGTTAAGTTAGGGCATGAACTTAATTCTGTAAATGACTATGACTTTTACTGCAAATATTTCATAGGCTACAGTTTAAAATTGCATGCTGCCAGTGAAGTAAGCACTATACCAACTCTTCTCGAAATTTACTGTATATTAGCATTACTGTATTTCTTCAGAAAGTTTCCTGGTTGTACCAATGCGTCAAGTCAAATGATCAAGCTTTAACATGCATGACACTGCCAGGAGTTCCTGGGTCTATAGAGGATGTTATAAATGACAGATGCTAGACCAATGAAAAGTTTCAGACATGTGAAAAATGTTTTCCCAAGATATTGCTGGGCTTTAATTTAAAACTGAGACCATTTGTAGGTGTTAGGAGAAATCATCAATAACACATTTTTTTAGATAATTGGAGCTGAATGTTAATCTGTTCTTCCAAACAAACTTTCAGGATTTTATCACAATTACTAAACAAAGATTCTGAAGAACTATCAATAAAGTATTGCTTTAGTTAACTGGAGTTACTATAACAAATATCGATAGCATATTTAGTGATGACTCTTATGATGGGCTGGAGTGATAGCACAGAGGGTAGGGTGTTTGCCTTGCATGCGGCAGACCTGGGTTCAATTCCTCCATTCCTCTCAGAGAGCCCGGAAAACTACCAAGAGTATCCCGCCTGCACGGCAGAGCCTGGTAAGCTCCCTGTGGTGTATTCAATATGCCAAAAACAGTAACAACAAGTCTCACAATGGAGACTTTACTAGTGCCCGAAGACAGTGCTACAGTGCTACTATAGCAACAATATATCACCATCTTGGTGGCTTACATAGCAGAAAACTACTATCACATCATTTGGGAAGCCTTAAATCCAAGATTTGGTTTCAGCTGAAGCCCCTCTCTTTGGACTGTAGATGACTGTGTTCTCACTGCCCCAGCTGCCATGTGTTCTCAGGAATCTACGAAAGTCTGGAGGTACTCTGTCTCTTCTGCTAAGGACAGCTGTTCTACTGAATGAAGGCCCAAGACGACCTCCTTTAACCTCAATTTTCTTTTTCTTTTTTCTTTATTTTTTTTCTTTTTGGGTCACACCCAGCAATGCTCAGGGGTTCCTCCTGGCTCATGTACTTAGGAATTACCCACAGTAGTGCTGGGGGGAGGCATATGGGATATTGGGAATCGAACCTGGGTCGGTCGCATGCAAGGCAAATGCCCTACCCGTTGTGCTATCACTCCAGCCCCTAACCTCAATTTTCTTAAAGGCACTATCTTTAATCACAATCATAATGGGAATTGCATCTGACTACCAAGAGTATCTGACTGCACAGTAGAGTCTGGCAAGTTCCCCATGGAGTATTCGCTATGCCAAAACCCAGTAACAATGATGGGTCTCATTCCCATGACTGTGAAAGAGCCTCCAATGTGGCACTTGCTAAAATCTCAGGGTTGGAATGAATAGAGACATTACTGGTGCCTGCTCGAGGAAATCAATGAACAACAGGATGACAGTGATACAGTGACAATCAGACATATTAAGTCACAGAAAATTTTGGCTATTATTTGTAGTAGTGTTATCATTGTTAGTTTGGGGCTTCATCTGGCTTTAATCAGACAGGTATTACTCTTGGTTTAGCAGTCAGGGATTATTCCTGGAGGGGTTGAGGGGTCATATATGGTACCAGAGATGGAACTAGGGTTGGCTCCATGAAAAGCAAGCTCTTTAACAGCTGTACTCTTTCCAACCACTAAATACAACTCTTGAGTTTACACTGTGCCATGACCTGCATTATGTCCCCCAGTTCATAAATTGAAGCTTTAAGCACCAATCCCTCAGAACCAATCCATACTTGGAGATTGAAAGAGGTAGTTGAGTTAAATGAGATAGTTAGGGTTATGGTAGGTAACTGATCTCTTTATAAGACATAGTACTGAATAGGGCTACTTCAATCACACAGAACCAATTGGAGAGTAGTCAGAGAGAACTACAGGCCAAGAAGAGAAAACTTAACGAAAACAACCCATTCTCAGCTCAATCTTGAATTTCCGGACTTTGTGCTTTTAGGTCTTCAGTACTTTTTAATGGTATATCTAGGAAATCAATACACATTGGTCATGTCTACAGCCAATAAAAGTCAGTTCAGGATATTTTAACAAAGAAAACACTGTCTTACTGTCATACTCAGTGAACCACACTTTACGTACCTCTTTTAAGGAATAGCAGAAAAAACACAACTAAGTGCATCTTATATAAATTATTACATCACATACATGCTGATGATCAGGGCATGAAAAAAGAATTCCTAAGTTACTTTATTTCCTAGAGATGCTAGAAACTTTTAAGCGGTTAACACCTAACATCCAAACAGTTCCAGTGGGGGGCTGTGCCTTGCATGAAGCCAACCCATGTTTGATTCCCAACACCAAGTATACAGTCCCCAAAGTCTGAGCACAGACTTGGGAGAGAAACGCTGAGTAACACCAAGTGCAGTCCCCAAGTTAGTAATAATAACAGCAAAAGTTTCAATGTGTAACAAATAATAAATATCTATTAAAACTGGAATAAATTTGGAATTAATGAAAAATCAGAGTGCATCTAAAATTAGAGAACAAGTCTTACCTTTGTTTTGGGTTCAAGAATTTTTACTCCATAAATTGATATTTGCAACTCAACTTTAGGGATTTTCTGACCTTCAGATTTCTTGATGTGTCTTGCAAACTACAAAAGAAATATCATTCACAAAACAGTAGTTTTGTATCTTTTTTGTCTGTGGAAAGGCACAGACAAATAAATATCTGTCAAAATTAAATATTATGTGTTTGATTTTCTTTAGTTATTGTTTTTAACAAAGTGCAATATAAATAATATAAATTTGGCACTGCTTCAAACTATTTAGAAATAGTATTCTATCACTATTATCTTTACAATTTTTTAAGATATACTTAGTCACTGTCCTCCCATTGCTCATCGATTTGCTTGAGCAGCCCAGTAACATCTCCATTGGAGACTTTGTTGTTACTGTGTTTGGCATATCGAATACATCACGGGTAGCTTGCCAGGCTTTGCCGTGCGGGCAAGATGCTCTCGGTAGCTTGCCAGGCTCTCCGAGAGGGGTGGAGGAATCGAACTCAGGTCGGCCATGTTGGCTGCGTGCAAGGCAAATGCCCTACTGCTGTGCTATCGCTCCAGCCCAGATTTAGTATAGAATTGTAAATATATGTAATGTTTTCCCAAAATTATTTATGATACCTTCTTTATGAATCAATAAGTACATATAAGTTCTTATTAAGATCTATTTTGTTTTTAAAAGACAACCAGAAAACTCATCCACTTTGTAAATATAATGCTGCAAGTTTTGGTGGTGTAACAGGATTCCCACTGAATATGAACGTAGACAATATATTTAAATTTTTTATTTTAGAATATATGTATACACTTTCTTGTTAGACAAAACAAAAGATACATGCTGTTAATCATTGTCCTATGAAACCATAAGAAAATATTATGAGTAAAAACTTTGTTCTTTGTTTATATGACAGTTGAAGCTTATTGAGTGTCTTGATTCTATCTGGCATGAGTCTCTCTATATTTCTTCCCTTCTCTTCTCACCTTTCTTTTGAAAACTTGGCAATAAATAAAATGAAAGAACAATTTCTTATACCTATTCTAGGACTCTGAAACATTATTTCCTAGTACAACATTTTTTCAACATATGGACCATCCTAACTTGACTCAAAATAGATCACACATAAGACAGTGTGGGGTTTCAATCCTCTTTTGTGTGCCTTATTTATCTGCATTGTGTATTTCTTTCTAATGTAGGGCAGATGTGAATACACATGGTATAGTTCAGAACCTGGAGTAGAGAGTGGCTAAAGGCCATTTTTTATTCTCAAGGCTTTGTGCTACAATGGGGGATAATATAATAAATGCATACATGAGTGCCTTCAAGTGACTGCCTTGATATACTGAAGTGGGGTACCATCTGTCTCATTTCTTTCTGGGTGGTATAATTTTTTAACATGATGTCTGTTCTGTTCAATGAATGTGGGCATCTTAAAAAAATCCATTTGTACTAGACTCTGCACATGAATTCAACTAATTTGGGTCAGATAAATTTGACTATTTTCAAGAGACTTGTTTTGCTTCGGTGCAGATCTTTAAATATTATCCCATTTATTTCCCAGGAAAACAGGATTAATTTTTGTTCTTTTCCTTTTATAATCTTCCTGTACTGGCATAATTAAAACAAGTTGGGGTTTTAACATATAAAGGCTTACAAAATAAATCAGCTGTTCTCCATCTACGTGAATACATCTGAACAAAGTCATTCTCATCCTTGGCTGCAAAAGCACTCTAAGCTGGCTTCCCAGTTGCTGTTCTTTTCCAGAAAAAGACAATGAGCTGTGGCTCATAAGGCCTTTTCCACATCTGGACACAGCCATCCTGTGACCTCTTTTTGTTTCCAAAAAAGTCTATCACAAAACAACCACCACTATTAAATTTATCTGTTATTTCATTTTTGCCAGGAAAAAAAGAAAGAAAGAAGGAATGGAAGAAATGAAGGCAGAAAAGTGGGGGTTGAATAAAAAGAATTTAAGGAGTCAAGGAAGGTCAGAGATGGAGAAAGACAAGGAAGAACACAGAACAAAAGAAAATAAAACATAGAGATGGTCTGTGGCTTGTGATACCTTTTTAACACTGATTACTGTCAACAGGAAGTAACTGTATTCAAAGAATATTCAGAACTCATCCAATCTAATCTTCCCATTTTGAGGACAAAAAAAAAAAAACAACTAAGTCTTAGAAGTTATTTATATTGATCATAATGTAAATCTGTAACAACTTGTCTGATAATCTAGTTTTGCAGTTACTCAACTAAAATAAAAAAAAGATTCAGCAACAGCAACCTAGCAAACAGTTCCCCATACTTCAAGGTTTATCTTGCTATTGGCTTGACTGTGCTTGACTGTAGTACATAGGCTGCAAACCAACTTATGCAAAGGTTGTATTTGTCAAACTAGAGCAAATATTTTTGGATCAGCCTTATATTTCTTAAAATATAGTTAAATTACTGAATTGTCTATTTGTATACTGTCCTTTCGCTGTTCATCGATTTGCTCGAGCGGGCCCAGTAACGTCTCCATTGTGAGACTTCTTGTTACTGTGTTTGGCATATTGAATACTCTGGGTAGCTTGCCAGGCTCTCTGAGAGGGGCGGAGGAATCGAACCCCACACACTCTCCATTGATCTACCCATCTGTAGATTTCACTATGTTCCAAAAATATGTCGAATTTACATACCTAAATACCATTCCTTATTCTTTTGGGGAGTACAGGAGACAGAGACTAAGGGATGTGTTATGTCTCTAATCTTCCTTGACTTCTTAAATTCTTTTTATTTAGACCCCACTTTTCTCTCCTGCCTTCATTTCTTCCATTCCTTCTTCCTTTCTTTTTTTCTAGCAAAAATGAAATAACAGACTCCTGGCGATGCTAGGAAGTCTTTCAACGTATGCTTAGGAGACACTAGGACATCTCCAGGCGATTCTTGTCCTAATGGGTCCTAGGGTAAATGAAAGGAATCTGATGGTGTGTTGCGGTGCTGGCCTTCGTACTGTGGAACGACCAGAGACATACCTATCTCTCCTATTGTCCCAAACCCCCCAGGTTTCTAATTCTTAATACTCTATCCTTTTTTTCTCCATAATAAGTAGGTGAATATAATATTTTTTAAAATACTGGCAAATTTCTTTCCATTTTATATTCAATGTATTCATGTCATAGTCATCTAGATATAGTGATGTACAATCACCACTAGAAAAATCCAATAAAAATGAGTTCAAGTCGGTAAATCTTAAGCAATTCATAGAGTTATATTGTTACCACAAATAAACAAAATCCTTGTCCATTATAAAATAATGGAGAAGAATTGAGTATTACTTGAAATACATAATATTAGTAAAATATCTGGGCACTGGTGAGTAAAACAACTAAAGAGAATGAAGTGAGCACTGAGTTTCAATGTCATTATTATGCAATTTTTATTCATTTCTCAGACAAAATCCTTTAAAAAAATAAATCCAACTATATACTAAAAGAATATACATTATTAGGCAAAAAATAAATAGATAAATTTATTTTTTTGAGTTAACTTCTCAGATCTGTTCCTCGTTTCTAAGAACTATAACTCTGCCTCTCTGTGGTTTTTCTATTTAAATTGTAAATTTATTATAAAATATTCCTGATTATCTTGAAGGAAAAGCAGCTTCATGTGCATATTAATTAAATTATATGTTGAATAAGAATATTAATTAAATTAACTGCTAAATGAGTTATTAAATAACTTGCTATATAGATAAAGAAAATTATTCTGCACAGAAAGAGTGAAGTTAGTGTGAAAATACGTTGGACGAGACTTAACAGAACTCAACAATAATCCCAAGGGTCATAGCCTTTGAAAAAATTTATGTAATTTTAATTAGAAGTGAGAAGTCTCTCCTCTAAAATCAGTGTTAAGAAATACTGACCCCTGAGGCTGGAATGATAGCACAGCGGGTAGGGCGTTTGCCTTGCACGCAGCCGACCGGGTTTGAATCCCAGCATCCCATATGGTCCCTTGAATAATTAGGGGACCACCAGGAATAATTTCTGAATGCAAAGCCAGGAGTAACCCCTGAGCACTGCCGGTTGTGACCCAAAAAGAAAAACAAAACAAAACAAACAAACAAAACCCCAGAAATACTGAACCTTACATATTTATAAGAAAAATTAAAGGGTATGAGTTCACCTATTAATATATATCTACATGCAGACATAAGAAGCATATTTAATATAATGGAATGTCTGACATTTGTATTTAATGCATTCATAAAAATAGACAATGATTGAAAGTTAATTATTACAATTGGAAAGTTTGGCAATTTACTAAATCATAGCCTAAAGCATGATTAAGAAATACTGTTGACCATGATTGAAATACAGAAAATAATTGCTTTTGATAAATGTAAAACCTGAAAACTAAAACTTTAGCATAAAAGTGTATTAAAGAAAAAAACATAAACTATAAGTTCTCCTCAAAATGACTGAAAAAATGCACAATTAAAAAGTGCCACTTTTCATTTTTTCTCTCAAAACAATCAGATATCACTAAAAATAGGAAAATTAAAAATACATATTTTGAAAATCTCAGATTTTGAGTTAAAGTCAAAAGTTGATGTGGTAAGATTGGAAACTTTTGAAAAATGAACAAACAAAATAACAATGTTATTTTATGTGAAAAATAATATATTAAACTATAAGAGACAAAAAATCAGTCAATATACATAAATTAAAGAAAAACAAGCAGCAAATTAAAATGGGGGATGTCGGGCAGACTTTCCTTCTTTAGTAGAGCTATAGCACCATCTTCTGGTCATTTCTACATGACAATAGACAACAGAGGAGAACACAGATTTTTAAAAATTAATGCAAATATTGTTTACTTTAGGTGTACTCTCTGACTTTTGACCAAGATAAGTTGGGGGAAATAGATGAAGAGCATATTTTTGCTAATTTTCATTATCCATTACCCTAACTTTTTTTTTCTGATATACAAAATGTTTTGTAGTAAGTTTGCATGCTTGCATACTAAATACATATTTATTTTGGGTTACAGTGATTGTACAGCAGGTAGAGAGTTTACCTTACATGTGGCCAACCAGGATTTGATCCCCGGACCACATATAGTCTCCTAACACCTATAGGGGGGGGATCCCTGAACACAGAACCAGCAGTAAAGCCTAAGTACTGCCAGGTGTGTTGTCCCCAATCCTCTTCACACACACCCCTCCCCCCACCCCAACACACATACAGAAAGAAAAAAGAAGGAAAAAAAAACACACGTTTATTCTGGAAAAGATAAAGCGTCTATCAACTGACAATGCATTTTTAAACTGTATTACATAACTTTTACCATAAATCGTATCCTTTATTAGCAGTCGATTTTCAAACAGCACCAACTGTTACAAAATCATTTAATTTCAAACATCTCTTTATATTTTATTTTATTATAATGTAAATCATTTTTTCTTTGGGCAAACTAATAAAGTGCTATATATAAAGAAATGTTATGTGTAAAAATAAAACATTCTGACTGTTAAAGTTAGACACCTGTCCAGAGTTTGCAATATTTTGAATATTTATGTAGAATCTTTTTTTTTCTTTTTGGTTTTTGGGCCCACACTTGGCAATGCTGAGACTACTCCTGACTCTGCACTTAGTGATCAAGCCTGGTGGCACTAAGCAGATCATATATGGTGCCTAGGAAAAAAAAAAAAAAAACCAGCTAGGTTGCATGCAAAGCAAGCATCCTACCCAATCTACTATCACTCCAGTCTCTAAAACTGAGTCTTAAACTGAATGTTGTCTATAAACTGTAAGACTTTTTGTACTTTTTATTAGTTCTGAAGGCACTGACCAAATAAGGGCAAGTCTTAATAAGCAGTGGGAAGTTACTTATAATAGTACCTAATGAGTAATGGAAAGAAATTGTTGGTTAGTCAACCTCTTTCCGCCCTTAAATGAGAGATAGCACTTTGGGACCATGCAGCAAATTTATTTAAAATACTAAGTAAAGAATTTTCTATACAAAATGGATGCAAAAATGCCATTCATTTTTATTTACTCACCCATAATACAAGTTAAGTGCTCCATTTAAACTTTTCCTTCCTTTTAACACTCTGTAGATTCCTTCCCTTATGATAATCCTGCAACTAAGTAATTCTATTTGGAGGAAGGAAGGCTCCCAACCAGTACTCAGGGGTCCTGGGTCCACTTCTATTGATACTTGGCAAACTGGGTAGAGGGCTTAATGCTAGGGCATAAGAATGCAGTGTTTTGTGGGCCCTGCAGTGCTGGCGACTCCTTGGATCATGTTCAAGGATGCTTCAGTTTCTCCAGGATGATGCTCTGGTGTCTCCAAGGGTCCTTCGGATGTTTGGCAGGAGACTGAATCCATGGTCATGTACCTTTGCCCCTATACTATCTTGCAAGGCTCCAAGTAATATGTTGTGTAATGGTTATGGCTTTACCTGGCACACTCAAAGGCCTATTCCTCCTGAGGAATAAATGGATATTTTCTAATCCAAACAAAGTCAACAAAAGGTTGTTTCTCAAAATACAAAAACAAACCAAATCAAAACAAAATGTGTCAGTAGTCACAGAGAATAACATCAAACTGTGCAAACAAAGTGGAGTAGTTGGATATCTTAATGAGATAAAGATAAAATTCTGTTGGGAGTTTTCAGTTCTTTAAAATCTCTGCAAGAACTCTTTGGGATGGAATGCAATTAGAAAAACATTCTAATATGTATGCCCTCTTATATATGTGCTGACTATGAGTTTGTGGGGTTCAATAAATATCCATCCCTGCTGTCTTCATCTTTCGGTTTCCCATGTATGCTCAGGCATGTGATCAGATGCTCCTTGAATTTGTGCATTAGGATATCTTTAATATATACTGTGACTGCAAAATTCTTTTTTGGAATTCACACTAACTCTACATTTTTAAATTTATAGATACAATAACTATTATACATAACTGTTATGCCATTACTAACTTTTGAGTTGGGGAATTAATTCACCAAGAAAAGTGTAGGTAATCTACTTATAAAATAAACACTCCTGAAATATACATAAACATATAAATATAGCTTATATATATACTGATATACATAAAATACATAAAATATGCATTTATAAAATATATACTTGTAAGTGCATATTCATTATTATTATATATTCTTATAAAATATTGGCCAGAAGTGTATACTGGGGTAACAGAGTCTACATTGCTTGCACTGACTTCAGTTGGATTTCTGGTGCCACATATGAACTCTTGAACCCAGCTAAGAGAAATCCCTGAGCAGAGTCAGGGATAGCCCCTCAGCACTGCCTGTAATGACTCAAAAACCCATTGTCCCCCAAAAAGAAAGAAAGAAAAACCCAACACTTGTAAAATAATACCATTACAACACATTTTCGTTAAATAAAAGATTCTATAGATTATTAAAAAAAGGGACATCAGAAAAATAATTGTGTATATTTATCATTAAATGTTCCTTGACCTGAGACAAATGTGCTAATGCTTTGAGTTTCCAGGAGTCCACTAATGAATGAGACAACACACGAGCCGTTTATCTGAAGGGCCAGGCTTACCTTTAGCTTCCTCACAGCATCTCTCACAACTTCTGTTCCCTTAGGCTGTTCCACTTCTGTACTGCCAAGAAACTGAAAATAGTGATTTGTGAGACCCATGCTTCTCGACGTCAAATACATCTTAAATCACTTTGAAACATAGCATAATGTAATAATACAAAGTCTAAGGAAGAGCTAAAATAATAAAAAACAAGACACGGGTGTGTGTGTGTGGCAAATTTAAAACATGAGCTGGAAATGCAGACTTGAACTGCTGATTTACTATATGACAATGTGACCAAAAGAAGTTAAATTTTTATTTCTTCTGAGCCATACCTGGGGGTGCTCAAGATTTACTTCTGGTTCTGCACTCAAGAGATCACTCCTGGGAGGACTCAGGGAACCATATGGGGTACCGGGCATTGAATCTGGGGCGGCCAAGTGCAGGGTGAGCACCCTACCCATTGTCCTATCTCTATAGCCCCCAAAGTTTTAATTCTTGATTCTAAAAGGCACAAGCAATTCCTTTTTTTTTTCTTTTTGGGTCACACTCGGCAATGCACAGGGGTTACTCCTGGCTCTTCACTCAGGAATTACTCTTGGCGGTGCTCAAGGGATCATATGGGATGCTGGGAGTCAAACCCTGATTGGCTGCATGCAAGGCAAATGCCCTACCCGCTGTGTTATCGCTCCAGGCCCAGCAATTCCTTTTTAAAAATATGGTGAAATTACACCAAATAAATTTCAGCAAGGGACTGGATACAGTGTCATTAGATATCTAGTTTGCTCTACGGTGACCTCGACACTTTTCTATTGACACACAAGTTCAACTAAAAAGACCAAATAAATGGAGAAAGACTTAATTTGAAGGGAAATGAAAATGTGAAAGAAACATACGGAAGAATGCCAGACCTAATCCTCACGCAAAATGGACCAGTCACTGTTCTGTTTCAGATCAGCGTTCAATGCAGTTTGCAGGAGGGAATCACTTGGTAACTTTAAATTTAGAGCAGTGCCACAGTTTGCTTTAATTAGCTTGGGGGCAGAGCCTGGACATCTGTAGATTAAAAGACTCCTGGGGTGATTTTAATTGCCACTAGGCTTGAAAAGGACTGTTTTAGATCATCCAGAAAGGATAATAATTTCCAGGGTGAAAGAGAAGTCCGCACAATAGGTGTTATTAATCATTAAACTATGAGTAAAACCTTTGGTAAATTCTTGTTCTCAAAGCTCTCTTATCACCAAAAAATTCATCATTCAGTCAATTGTCTTGTATTAGCAGGAACAGGAACTCAAAAGCAAATGCCTAATTGGTTAAGTGATTCTTGAACTAGAAATAGATGAAATGTGTCAACAAGAGACTGTAATGGTTATAGGAAATATTTATGAAGAATATTCATAAATCTCATGAGTCATAAGTATTGTATGTAAATAAGTCCATATGGAAGAACTATGGAAGAACTCCAAGCACATTCCAACTGCATCAACCTCTTACAATGCTCCAGAAACCTTTAAATAAGTTTCTTTCATGCTGGCTTTAATTAAGCCATCTGAATAATAAAAACACAGGAAGAAGTCTTTAATTATCGTGGTAAATTAACTATTAGAAATTCTTACTATGAAACTTGCCACTTAGTCCAAGTTTTCATGGAATTTTAAATATCCTGAATAGAAATAATTTTCATTATTTCTTTTGCAAAATAGAATTGCTAAAATTAAAAAGTGTGTTACTTATTATATTTTCTGAATTTTTTTTTTTTGCTTTTTGGGTCCACCTGGCAATGCTCAGGGGTTACTCCTGGCTCTGCACTCAGGAGTTACCTCTGGTGATGCTCAGGGTACCATATGGGATACCGGAGATCGAACCCATGTAGGCCACGTGTAGGCCTTACCCACTGGACTATTGCTCCAGCCCCAATTTTCTAAATTTTTTTTATCCAGCTACTTTCCTTTGTTGCTATTGTGATGACCAGGTGTCACACACACACAGGTAATTTTGGTGCTCACCAAGGTAAGCACATGCTAACTATGGTGTTTACACAATTGACCGCCATTGGGTTTCATTCATTTAGCTGTGTCACTTGCACGTACACTGGATGTACTGTGTTCTGGGTTTTTCTGAGGGATGGGGGTCACATTCATGCCATGATTGTTCACAAATCTCTAGTTCCGTTACTTACACATACCTGGCTTTACACCAGAGATTACAGACTCTTTTTTAGCACTAAGAGTTTCACACTCTCAAAGTTACCAAGATTGTGCTCAGTGTATGTGTATAGCACCAGGGATCAAACTCAGAAATTTATAGCTACTGTCCTTCCCCCTAGGTCCTAAAAAACATTTTAAAATAACAAAAAAATTCAAATATTATTTTTAAATAATTCATATTTCTTACATTGTCATGTCTGTTAAGTATTTACAAAACTCAAATTGGAACAGTAAGGTATAACAAACTCAAGGCTTAGAATCGAATATACATTGGAGAATTTACTTAATCTTCATCATCTATGACTTGGAAAGTAAGGTTTATGATATTACCCTGCTCTCCACACTATTCTGAAAGAAGGTGAATTAACAAAATGGCATAAATGAGAATACAACACTGTAAACTGCATTGTGTTTTATAATTATGAAGAACTTGTCATTCCTTTATCAAAAAGGTTATAGGAGAATACACTAAGATTTAGCGGATACTGTGTGTGTCAGTTCTGTTCTCTTTGGATCAGAGCTTATTATCAACTCTGAATCTTATCCTTTGACTTCCACTGATTTATCTTCTGGGAATATTCACTCAAGCTCTTCAGGAGCTTCCCTTTGGACAAGTAAGTCATCTTGTCAGTATTGAGAGCTAGAAATACCTGGGAGGTTTTTGCCCTCAACCTCCATTCCAAAGGACCAGACAGTTTGCTGGAAGAGTGGTAAATTCTAAGGAGGATGCAGACATTCATTAGGAATAACACTGAGTCCTAGGCCTCACTCATGCATTCTCCATTTGTTTATTCCCCTTGTCAGTCCTGCAGTTCCTTTCTGTCTTACCCTAGGGGAAGCACTCCTTTAATAAATCACATGCACCCACATCTTTGCCTTAGGATCTAATTCTCAGAGGAATAGACCTATGATACTGTTAAATACTTTAACAATTAAATCCAGATATATATTTTCTATATCTGTTACTGTCACTGTCCTCCCACTGTTCATCGATTTGCTCAAGCAGGTCCAGTAACATTGTGAGACTTGCTACTGTGTTTGGCATATCGAATATGTCACAGGTAGCTTGCCAGGCTTTGCAGTGCGGGCAAGATACTCTCAGTAGCTTGCCGGGCTCTCCGAGAGGGGCGGAGGAATCGAACTTGTGTCGGCCATGTTGGCCGCATGCAAGGCAAATGTCTTACCCGCTGTGGTATCGCTCTAGCCTGTTTTCTATATACACCCCTCAAAATACTATACGACTGTTTAAAGAATTCATACAGAGCTTCAAGAGCAACACCGTGGGGAATTCACAGTTTTGAATCCAGTTTTGCAGAAGCTTTAAAGGAGCTTCCTTAAAGAAGAGGCAGAACTTCTCTGCACATATATGAAGTTAGTACGGCACTTACTAATGGTACTTATGGCTGCCTATGATAAATTAAGAATGGTGCTTACTCCTAACATGCCAGTTTCAATTAAAAAAATAACATCTCATTTATGCAGACTGTTTGTCTGACCAGTTCTTTTATATCCACAGATATTTTTATTTTTTATTAGTGAGGCACCATGAGGTACAGTTGTAGACTTACATATTTTGTGCTTGGGTTTCAATTATACAATGATCAAATACAAATCCCTCCACCAGTGCCCATTTCCCACCACCACGGATCCCAGTATCCGTCCCACCCTCTATCCCTCCCATCCCACCCTGCCTCTGTGGCAGGGTATTCCCCTCTGTTCTCTCTCTCCTTTTGGATGTTCCACAGATATTTTTTATTGTGATCTTTTATTTATTATTGCAGATGTCCAACCAGTATTTATAGTATTTTCTAATATAAAAGCAACACTAACTTTCTCATAGCAATAATTCTTTTTATTCTTTCTAATTTTTTTTCTTTTTTTGCTTTTTAGGTCACACCCGGAGATGCACAGGGGTCACTCCTGGCTCTGAACTCAGGAATTATCACTGGTGGTGCTCAGGGGAACATATGGGATGCTGGGAATCAAACCTGGGTCGGCCGCATGCAAGGCAAATGCCCTACCCACTGTGCTATCACTCCAGCCCCACTCTTACTAAATTTTAAATTTGTAGGTTTCACCTATTTCATGTAAATTCTAAAATAGCATTGAATTTTTTTTTTAAAAAGCCTTATACTTGCATTTTGATCTTCTAGATATTTTCTAGCATGAATCTAGTGCATCTTTTGGGTAATCTCTTGAGCCAATTTACTAACTTTTCAGTTGTAGAAAAGTTGAATGTCAATGAATATCTTTAAAATGCAAGTGAATTATGTGAATAGTATTATACCTTTCTGAAACTTAGTTTCAATAATATTTCCTATGTGCATATGATTCTTTGAATCCCATGGAACCACATAAAATCTCACTGCGCCCCCTCAATAACTGAGTTAAACAAACAAAAAAGCTTTATAACAGGGGAGATACAAAAATAATCACAGTAAGATCCAAGTACAAAATAAAATTTAATGCAATATATTTTAGATACCAGAGTTATAAACGTATTTATGTAAATAAGACTATGGGTTATATTAGCACTAGCACTAGCACTATCCTCCCGTTGTTCATCTATTTGCTCCAGTGGGCCCAGTAAAGTCTCCATTGTGAGACTTGTTACTGTGTTGTTACTTGTTGTTACTGTGTTTGGCATATCCAATATGTCACAGGTAGCTTGCCAGGCTTTGTCCTGTGGGTGAGATACTCCCGGTAGCTTGCCGTGCTCTACCAGAGGGGCAGAGGAATTGAACACGGGTCAGCCCGGTCGGTTGCATACAAAGTAAATGCCCTACCTGCTGTGCTATCGCTCCAGCCCTATGATTAATTGTTATTTATATTTTATTCTAAGGAAGTTTATTTCTCTGTAAGACAAGAAAAAACTGAATTTGATG